TGTTTTCTGATTGATGTCCAGATGACCAAATGAAGTCAAATAGCAAAGTCCAGAGTAAATGTGGGAAAAGATAATGTGTGTACGTAGAGGTTGGGGAATAACTTGTGGCTGTTTTTACAGTCACACTGTACCCTGGCTGGTTTCAGAGATGACCTGTTTTGGGAACTAGTCAAGTGCAGAGGTTTTGAGAGCAGGTAATCCTGGGCCAGTTACAGCAGAATTCCCCTCCTTGGTTAACCCAAGTTGAGAGCGGTCGGAAAAGGGTCTCAGGGATCAGCTGTGGAGGAAAGTGTGCTCACAACTCCCTCTAGTGTTTCCTCTTGCCAGTGCAGCCAGGGAGTTTTTTCTTTGACTTCGTTTTTTTACTTTTTAACAAAAGCAAGACTCAGATTGAACAGTATGTATCTATTGTGACTCGTTACCCAGCGGACAGCAGCGTCTTTGTGGGATCTGGAGGTAAGTCTGGCTAATCAAAAGCAGTGAAACTGCACTCTGAAAGCTGCTGCCTTAGGGGTTGTATTCAGAAGCTGGTTCTCCAACTCCAGATAGCTTATTTTTGTTCCCCTTTGCATACCATGTTGTGATGAGGGAGAATCTATTATGTTAAATACTAGTTACAGAAGTGTTTTCAAAGCATACAGAGACGTTATGGACAGATTTTATAACCTACTATTTATACACACACACATACATACATACATACATACATACATACATACATACATGTATATATATGGCAAGTCATGGAAATGGTACCTTAAATAATGATGAATGACTCTGTTGTAAGATAGATTATCTACATAAATTTGTCCCTAAAATAAAAGTCCTTCAAACTGGTATCTCCAAATATTTTCTCTGTTTTCTACAAAAGATGATTTTAACCCAAAGCTTTTTAATTAAACTTATTCCTTAGAATTCACGGTTTCAGCATCTCTGACTGCACCATCTCTTATTCTTCCTTCAGGCTTTTCGGGCTTTAGTCTTAGGTTGACATGTGTTCCCTCCAGTCTTTTTCAGGACCAGATTCATTGTTACCAAGAAGGATGTTGGCTTGGTGCCGTTCTAATTGCTGGGACATCCTGGGGTTTTGTTGTTGACTCAGGCTGGCCAAGAACCTAAATTCTGCAGACACCACCCCCCAGCATTTTAGCTGGTAATTAACAAAAAAAGCCATATATATTATCAAAACATAAGCTATCTGAGATCCCAGACAAAAAAAAAAATGAAAAGGGAGATGAATATATTCAGAGACGGATGGCTGAAAAGAACGATTCTCATAATGGGTGAATTTTTTTTAATCTTCTAACATTGTCTCCTGGGACCTCTGGTTTTCTGACGTTTTCTAAAAAATCCCACTGTGTACTTAGGTGTGTCCTGCACTCATTTTGAAGGAGAGTTGTGCTGAGTTCAATCGGTAGAGAAGTCACAGTGAAAAGGAAAGGAAACATTTAAATACCTAGAAAGACACAGTCTGTCCTCTCTCAAGGTCATCACTTTTTAGGGGAGCGGGTGGGGGCGTCTCTTGCCCGGTCACCTGGCCTGGCTCTTGCTGCCCCATGTGCTGCATGACCCAGACCTCACAGCCCAGCAGTGTCGGTGCTGCTGGGCTTGGGCAGACGTCGTGGATACTCACAGAGCGCACAAGTCCTGCTCTTTGTCCTAGAACAGGAGTGAGGCAGCCATCTCCTCACACAGCCCAGAATCAGTCTCTCGACACTGCCCTGAACGATCTCTTTCTAGGGACGCCACACTTGCCCTGGTAGCATGACCAGGACCCACGTGCACACGCCCAGCAGAGCAAGTCGGCTGCAGGGGGGCTAGGGGAACTCCAGGAGAAATGCTGCACGCTTGCCAGGTGAGACTGAACTTCCGCTCCTGGCTTTTAATCTTGGCACCAGCAGCCCGTCCTGAGTTTGCTGCTAGGGCTTTGCGATGGCCTCGAAAAGCAGTGACTTTGTTCTCACTCTAGCCGTCGGTGCGCCCACCAAGTGAAGGGGCTCTGAGGCTGTGGAGATGTCGTTTTCTGGGAGGCTGGGGACGTCCAGCTTCCTAAATTGTTCCCGGCGGTGTTTCCACGTTTCCACGGCACTGTCCATCAAAAGCCAAGTCATCGTTTATTCGTCAGGCACCAGCTGTGTGTGCAGGTGCACCTTTGAGGGTGGGGCTGGTAGGCACAGGGTGGGGATGGACACCCACCCAGGGCTGGTGAGGTGGGTTTGCCTCAACCCAAGAAGTTGTAGTTGACGTGCTCGGATGGGCTCTTCCTCTCAGACTGAGCATCACTGAAAGTCAGGTTCTAGTGGGAGCAAATTAGGTCGTGACTGTTTCATCCAGACTCTGAACGCCTTATGTCTTTTCACGTGTTGGCTGCTTTGCTGATCTTTGGCTGTTGTGTTGGAGAAGTGGGAAGAGGAAGGGCAAGGAGGTCTGACGCAGATTCGCTGCTTTTCTACTCTTATTCCCATGAGAGATGAAGGGAGAGCGGGCGCTAAGCTTGTTTTTTCTGAAGTGAGGGTTTCCATTATTTGTGGATTCCATCTTTTTCTTGAGTCTTTTTTTATTGTAGCAAAATAAAATGTATCGTTTTAACCATTTTTAAGTGTAAAGTGTTAGGTGGTATTAAGTACGTTTACGGTGCTGTGGAACCATCTCCAGAACATCTTCGTCTTCACAGGCTGAACTAAGCAAATTTCTTGCATTTTTGTCTTCGCTCTCTGCCTCCTTTCTCTTTGATTCCCAGGCCCGTGGAAATGTCCTTTAGTTCCTTGTCTAAAAGGGAGAATGTGTCATCCCCAACGCAGTACAGCTGAGACAGGAAATGCCCCAGCCAGAGAGCCCGGCCTCCTTTCCTCGCTCTTCATGTGCATGTTCTGTTGAAAACCTGTATGGTGACGCTGACTCCTCTTCTGTTTCCTTGCCAGTGAGAACAATCTGCAAGAAGATCTCTTCGACCAGATCTTGGCTGGGAAGCTGGAGTTTCCAGCCCCCTACTGGGATAACATCACAGACTCAGCAAAGGTACCCATCCTGGCCTGTGTCTGGGGGGGTGCGTCACGTCGAGGGGTCCTCACCCGTCATGTGGGGCTGCAGCAGCTCCTGGTCCGTCTGGACTCAATTCGTGGTTCCTCTTTGAGTACATTCCACAGTATAGTCTCTGAAACGCTTAAGCAAATTCTGAAAGCTGGACTGGCTGTCTTCCCAGTTTGCCGCTACCATCCTCCCGTGCTCCTCTAAGCCCCGAACATTCCTTCTTTCATTTATTCAAGGAATGCATATTGGACACCCATTGGGCTGTAGGAGTGGACTCGCGAGACAGGCTGAGTTGCCGGAGGAGCGGTGGCACCGCGGTGTTGCGCTGTGGAATGTTGATAATGACCAGAACTCTTAGGAGAGAGCGTCCTGCTTTAGTGCAGACCCAGGAGAGCCCTCTGCTCCTCTCGCTGCTGCTGACGCAAGGCAGCTGTCTGTGTCACTGCCCAGTAAGCACGGGGAGCCGAGGTGATGATAGCTTTTACTTTCAAATGGCTGAGCAGCTGTGTTGGCTGTTCTTTGAAGTCCTTGGTGCAAACTCAGATTTCTGTGTTGATGCTGGAATTACCCTGCTTTTGTCTCCTCTACCTTTCCTCCCTCTTTCTTTCCAGGAATTAATCAGTCAGATGCTTCAGGTAAACGCAGAAGCGCGGTGTACGGCGGGGCAAATCCTGAGTCACCCCTGGGTGTCAGTAAGTACCCGCGTTCCAGGGGGTGAACAGCTCTGTGTTCCTCCCCACCGTGGCTTTGGTACATGCAAAGTTCTGCATCCAAGGTCCACGGCAGATTAAATGTCTGTTTTCTCTAGTGAGCATAGCACAGAGATAGCTCTCTGGGAGAAGGCGGTTGGCACAGGGATCCCGCTCTGGGAGTGACCTGGCAAGTCACTGTCCCTTTCTGGGCCTGAGTTTCCACATCTGTGAGATGGAAGGTTTGGCCAGGATGCTCTAAAAGGATGTTCTGGGGTTTGAAAGTTTCTGGGATTTGCTCAGAGATGACCCTGTTTCAGAGCCTGTCTTCACGGCACACGGTCACAGGAGAGCTCGTGGTGTGGTGGGGCTGCCGAGCCCGTCCCTGCCAGAGTGGAGCAGGGGACGTGTAGTGTTGCCTGGAGCTTCTCTGAGCTTGGGCGGTGCCTCCAGGTTTGTAAACATGGTCCACAAAATGGTGACAGCTGGAGAGTCTGTGTTCCCCTCAGTCCTGGAGGCTCCAGGAGAGTCCAGTTAATCCAAGGGCTTTTGCGACTTCAGGGGGCTCCCTGTGCACCTCTGCCACCTCACTGTCCCACACATTCTGACAACTTCTCTGGATCCTGCTAAGTGACTTGGCTTTTTGGACCAAGTAGCTGAGCTGCCACATTTTTTTATGAGCAATAAAGACTAACTGCTAACTGAATTCTTGATTGAGATGATAAACTGTTCATTCATTTTGAGTTTCCACAGTAGGGATCTGTACCAAATTAGGTGGCATTTGTGCGATGGGGGAGGGCCTCAGAACCCTGAATAATGCCCTTCTTGTGACCCTGGGACCTCTGCCCTCTCCTGGGCCTGCTCCAGCCCTAAGGAGGGAAGTGAGTGGTGGAGGCTCTTTCCGAGGGCAGGGGACTGCTGAGAAGCAGTAATTATGTTTAAAAGGAAGGTCATTGTCCCCCTGCGCTTGTGGCTAAGATGGACCTATTTAGGAGGGAGATGGTGGTGGTGACGGGTGGTGGGTGACGGTTCAGGAAGAGACCACTTAGACGTGAGAATCAAAATCATCGTCTTTGATTTTTTTCTATAGGATGACGCCTCCCAGGAGAATAATATGCAAGCAGAAGTCACAGGTAAACTAAAACAGCACTTTAATAATGCGCTCCCCAAACAGAACAGCACCACAACCGGGGTCTCCGTTATCATGGTAAGTGGGACGTGGGGCTCTGCCCTTGCAAAGCTGCAGGGTCTGGCCTGATGGCCCAGCCGGCGTTGAATCTTGTAAAGTCAGTAGCCGAGAGCTTCCTCACGTGGTGGTGGGCGCCTTCCACGCTCCTCTCTCCACCTCAGGAACGGCTTGGCATGTGAAGGGCACCTTTTGGCCGACTCCTGGGCCTTGAGTCCTGGGATGAGAGGTTGCACAGGTCCCGGCAAGGCCAGGCTGATGGGCCCCTGGCCAGGGAGCCCCGGCCTCCTCTCCTGAGGAAGCCCCAGCGCCCTCCTGGCAGCTGCTTCTGTTCTCATCTCTGCTCTCCAGCCCTGAGCCCAGGTGGGACTGACAGTGTAAGGAGGTAACTCCCTGATCACCCAGGCTTCACAAATAGATTGAGATCTGAATTAATCTTTGGGACTTGGGATAAGAAAGAGCCAGAGTTAAATTCCATTTAAAAAAAAGTCAGTGTTTTGAGCTTTTAAAAGTTGAGAACAATGAGAAAAATACTAGCTTCTTTCAAGGTTGGTAAAATTTTATGAGAAGTCAGTAATAGTGGTCCCTGTATTTCTTTAGATCTTCCTTCCAAAATGTTTAAGGTAGCTTACCTAAATCCACAAGCGCAGCAGATGACCCATGGCATTAAAGTACGTGAAGTAACGTTAAAGTAAGTTCAGCAAAAGGGAGGAGAAGGGAGGAAAAATAAAATTGAGCCAGAAATGTGTTCAGCACACCCACCACCAGCTGTCCAGACCCAAGTCTTGCCGAGGTGGGGCCGTGTCCCCAGCATGTCCCCACCTGCCTCGGTGCCACGACTGAAGCACCAGCACCTCGGCTGTGATCTCTGTTCCCCCCCAACACAGCTCACAGAATCAGGGAGCTGGTGGCGGCTTCCTTCCCCAGAGCAGACAGTCAGACTGTGTAAGGAGAAGGCGTCTTGCCACCCCGGACAGTGAGAATCCACGGCTTGTTGGGTCCCCAGAAGCTGGACAGAGAGTGACGGGCTGTCTCCCCGGCTCCATCTGGAGAGCCCGCCCCCTCTGGAGAGCTTCTGGTTTCCTCCCCAACTGGAAGGAGAACAGTTGCTATTCTGGTGGCACACTGTAGTCTAGGAACCTCCCCTCCAAGGACTCGGGTCCAGGTGGAAGCTGGAGGGAACCCACCTCGTGAGTGTGGCCTGTGTGCTGTGTCCCTGGGCCTCCAGCGCTGTCCCAGCTCTGCTGGTTTGTCCTCCTCCCTGGGGAGGCCGCATGTGTTAGGTGGCTGTCTGTCTGTCCTCGGGGCTCTTCCTGCTGGGAAGCTGCCCCCCGCCCCAAGGCTCACACGTGGGTCTCCTGACAAGTTGTGGGACCTTGGGGTGCCCTGCACCAAAATAGTGAGGCCTCTGGAGTTGTGGTCTTCCTGGCACTTAGCAGTTCTGCTGAAGCCTAGGAGAGCCAGGGTTGTCACAGACTTGCAGAAGAGAGCCTTTGGAAAGAGCCACCTTGACTGAGCCCCCAGCACGAGGTTGATTCCCAGCGAAAAGGCTGCCGGGAGAGTGAGGCCTTGCAGCCTGGCAGGAATTGAGAAAAATTGGAAACACTGAAAATTGGGACCCTCAACATGTAATCAAAAACCTTAAGATTGATTTATTAGAAGTACAATTTAATAAGCACATATTAACGAAGCATCTGCGTCTCCTAGTGGACGAGCCTTTGTAGGGTGGGCCGGGCTCACCCAAGTTCTCCCCGAGTTCCCGGGGTCGCCTGTTGACTCACAGCCCATGGGAATGGATGGCGCGAGGCCTGTGGCCTGCCACAGTTCTGGAATGATCGGCCCTTCTGGCCCAGTGTAGGCTCTGTTCTGCAGAAGGAGGTTTCAGCCCTCTTACCCACAGAATCCTATCTTACGGTTTACAAATGGCATTTTTTCCATTTGCTGATGGAGTTCAACCGTTAAATTTCAAACTCCTGAACTTTTAACAGGATGTTTGTGTGAATGAACAAGGCTCTCCCATTTGTAATCCGAGTGGTGATTGTAAAAGTTGTGTGTTCATGTGTGTGTTCAGTGTCATCTTGGGCATGTTGGCTGGGCTCCATCCAACCCCACGTCCCCTACACAACTCTGCAGTTCGTGAGCGCTGAGAAGTGCTGGCGGATGTCCTCACGCTAAGTACCTGCGGGAGAAATCAGGAAAGCCTGTCCCTGGAGGTACCAATTCTCAATGGCCAAAAAGCCAGCCTGTGAATTTTGGCTTGTCCCCAAAAGCAAGGGCGAGAAGACAGCTGAGGAGCCTGCCCGGGGCACGGTTGTGTGGGGGCGGCTTGCAGTTGCTTCCTTGTCTTCATCCTCGTCCTTGTCACCATTGCTGTCTGTGTCCTGGCCTTGGGAACAGTTTCAAATGTTTATTTAAAAATCATTCATCAGAAATACCTCTCCCTGGTGTTTATATGTTCTCATAACTGGAGTATGTGAGGCTCGTGTGGTTTCCTGTGGATACAAATGGTGGTGGAACCGGTGGGGACGCTTCAGGAGCTGTCACCCCCAGACAGAGCCTTCCTCTGTGCTGCTCCCCACCCTTGCAGCGTCCTCTCCACCTCAGCCTCCCAGAGTTGGAGCCTGAGGCTCCCCTGCGAAAGTTACAGGCTAGGATGGTAAATAGCAGTGCAAGAAAGTAAAGCTGACGCTGTTGTCTGCGTTTTGTTTGACAGTTTGATTTGACAGTTTGAGAGACACTTCAGAGTTTCAGTGTGTACCCCGTTGAGACTCTGGGGATCCTGGAGCAGAATTCGGGTACTCACTGTACTGTGCTTAACCAGAGCAGCTCTAATTCCCAGCCCCTCTTGAATCTGCATGCTTCTCTCAGACTTGACACCAGCATCCAGCTCTCAGCCTCTCACGGGTGCAGGTCTCCTGCACCTGCTGACACCTGTTTCGGCCAGCCACGCACACCCTTGGAAACCTCACTTTAAAACGTCTCAGCTTGCCACGTTGCCTTCCTTCCCAGACCAGAAGCTGGCGAGTGCACGGAGGACTCCAGGAGTTCTCCTGCTAAAGGCTGCTTTTCACTTAGATGAAAAAGCATCTTTTCGTGAACGACAGCATAAGATGGGGACCTTTGTGAAGGCTTTTGTTCTCTTTTCTCAGATACATTTGCAAAGATGCATTTTTATCAGTAAGACAGTGTAGAGTCAGCGAGGCTTTGGGGTAGGAGAATGATACTGGAGAGGAGTTTGGTTTAAGACGGGCCTGTAGTTTCAGATTGTACTTGTATTGTCTGTGACTTGTCCTTAGATGCTTAAGAAAGGACACTGCACCCGCAGAGGGGGCTTCTCGCCTCTCCCAGTGGGCTCGCCCTAGCTTGGGGACCAGAAGAGGCCCCCTCATGGCGGGAAGGGGAATTAGAAGAAACCCCTTCCTGCTGCATCTTGTGGCCACCGGACAAAGGATGGATTGGAAAGGGGTTCTTCCCCGCTCAGGGGATCATGCTTCTTTTGGGGGAAGTTGGGAATGATCTGGGCTTAATTTAAGAGAGACAGAACTGTTTCGATCGTGTTGCTTCTGTTGAAAGTAAGTCTAGTTTCTGTCCCCGCTTCTCTCCTGCCTTCTGCCTCTCCCGCCGCCTGCATTGCTTCCCTCTGACTAGGTCCAAGGCGATGGTACGTACTAACTGCACGGCCCTGCTGCTTTCCGCCGCACACATACATGTTCTTGCCGGGAAGAGAAGAGGAGAAATAACTGCAGGGCAGTTTATTTCTTCTGCCCAGGGGCCAATTTATGGCAGAAAACAGTGAACGCTGCCGCTCTGTGCCTTCGGTGTTTTCACTGAGGGGTGGCCTGGCCTCTGCTCATACTAGGGGCTTGGAAGCTTGTTAAAGAGTGATGCTGAGTTTTTGATTGGGCTTTTCCACAGTTACCTCTTCTCCAGGTAATTGAAACTGTCCTTGGCAGCTGCTGGGTTCAGCCTGAGCTGGGAAGGGCCTGTGGAGAAACCTGTTCACAGCTGACACCAGGCGCTCTGAAGGCAGCCGCACAAGTCCATCCGAGGAAGCCCCGCGGTTTGTCCTTCTTTCCCCCCAGTCAGAGTGCTGAAGGGATCAGTGGTGCATTTTCCCCTTCAGGTAGTTAAGATCACAAAACAGCTTCTGGCCCACATGCCTTTCAGCCTGAGGACTGAAAGCTCCACATTTGGAAAACCCAGTGAGACCTCCCTGGAGGAGAAGAGGCACAGAAACTGAGTCAGAGGAGGACGAGGAAGGCAGACTTAGGTCCCCCCTCTCAGTCTCGGGTTAGAAAGCAGGGCCATTTCTGTGCTCCCGGAGGAGCGGAGCAGATGAAAACCCTCGGGGGTGTGACAGGAGAAAGAAACCCAGGCAGGAAGAGGAGAGCAGGTCAGGAGACGATGGGGGATCCAAAAACGGGTAATATCGCACCATCGATTCTCGGGGCTTTTACAGATTATGTAGCCGCAAGGGTTGTAAGGAGGTTACTTATTTATACGACATCTGAGTAACTTTCCAGCCCCTGATGGGGAACCTAGTTTAGAACAGTGAGCTGTCAGAGACTCGCGTTCTCGGAGGGTTTGCTCCTCGTCCAGGGCTCCTCTGGGCTCGAGGGCTCGGGAAGAGGCGCTCAGGACCCAGGCTCAGCGCGGGGCCGGGAGGATCCGCCCGGCCGCAGGAGAGCAG